GCACTCTGCCATAGCCCAGGACAGGCTGCTGGCTGCCCCTGACTTCACTGAGGCGGAGGATGCTGAAGCACAGGTGACTAGATAATGGTGGTCAAACTTGGGTTCAGATCTCTTCTCTACTACTTGCTGTGTGACCTTCGCCAAGATGCTTCATCTCTCTGATCCCCTGTCTCTTCACCTGTGCAGTAGGGGTAACAGCACACTATCCAGTAGGACTGCTGTGCAAGTTAAATAAAGGCCCAACAAAGCAATCATGGCAGGCACATACCGAGGGTACAGGTTTACCCACTTTCCAAAAGGAGAATGTTCCTCTGAAACCTTTTGTAAGTCAAAATAGCCATAAAGAAGCAATTACCATTAATTTACATGGAAATTTTTTGAGTGTTCCCAGACCCAAAAAATAACCTATCAAAGCATACCAAATAACACATAAATTTACACTAACGTCTAGTAAAGCAGGAAGGATATGATAAATATGGGCCTGTATACACAGTTGTTCCAGGAAGGAGCTTGGCAGGGTCGCTCCCGCTGCCGCTGGACCCACTGCTGCAAAACCAACACTGGATGCTATTTTTCGCTTTTGTCTTTTGTCATAAAAGCAAAAATTCCCTTTGGATTTCTTCCAGTTAGCAAAAATGGGGAGTAATGTAGGTCTTTCACAAAAGTAAAGTGCTGTAGCTTTCAAAAAGTGGTAGTACCTGTGGTCCCCACCTCTACTGCCACCCCCCACCTGCTCAACTCCTGCCAGGTCTCCCCAAGTCCAGACTCCTCCACTAGCATTCAACCCCGTCTCCAGGCAGCTCCAGCCGCGCTCCCTGCTCCTCCCAGTGAATCACCAGCTGCCTCCACCTCCACTGAGCCCCAGGCACATGCCAAGCCTCCATGACTTTGCTGCAGCAGTAAGTCTCGCCCAGAGTGCTATCCCCTCCCCTCCCATTCAAGACCACCCAGTGCTCAAGGCCTAGAGTTTCCACAACCTCCCCCAGACCCAGGAAGCTCTGCCTCCCTTCACTCCCTCGGAGAGCTTGGTCCCCACCACTCACATCCAGTCTGGTGGCAGCCTCTGTCCTGAGCATCCTGAAGAGGCAGGACATAGCTCTTACATCTGAGATCCTTCTAGTACTGGTAGCACCCAAGCACCCATCTGCTCTCCTTTTGACACAGTTACCCCCAGATTCTGTTCCAGGAATGAGCCTCCCCTCCAAAATGCAGGCCTGGGGGGATGATCACAAGGCCCCAGTCCTTTCAAGCCAGGACACATGGACACATGGCCAAAACCCTTCCATGAGGTCCCCCCTCTTCTGAGACACGGGATTCCAGGCCTGCAAGATTCTTCAAAGTCACCATCCCGGGGGCGGGGGTGGGGGCATCCAAAGGCAATGAGCACATCTTGTTAAACAATCTCCCCACCCTACCCGCACTCCTGGCCTAGTCAAAGCCAAGCTCCAGCCCCACAAGCGCCCTTCTGGCCAATTTCTTCTCTGCCAAAGTTGGCCAAAGCCTTTTTCTGCTTATTGCACCCAGACAAGAGCCCCGACTGATTCTCTACATTCCCCCACATCACAGACTCACTCACCCACCACCCAGAACCCAACCCACAGACCCCCACCCGACCCGGGCAGAGGGCCTCGTGGGCATCACTTGTGCCACAGCCAGAGAGGCAAGACCTTCACTTTCAGGACAAAGTCAAGCTGCCAGCTGCTTCCTTCCTCCCCTGTGTCAGCTGACAAAATCTAAGTCAGCCTCAAAGCCAAGTAGGGGGGTTGCCTTTTGTTTGAAATAAATAAACAACAATGACAGGTAATTGAGCAGATTACATTTCATCGAAAGCAGTCATTTCTCCAGACGCCAAAAATAAAAACCAAGAACCTAAGTCAAATGAACAGGACATGCTGGGATCTTCATTCAGGAACCAAAGATCGAAAGGTTGGTGAAATGCCAAGAGATAGACAAGATAGCCCAGGAGACACAGAAGAGCAGCGTCTGGGGGTTGTGGGCATAGAAGCCACACTCACCCCATCCCTAGTCACCCCACTATGGAGAAGAATGCATAGAATGCTTAGAACTCAGTCTGGAGAGGAAGGGTCAGAGGAGAGCTTTCTTTTTTTTTAAAGATTTATTTATTTATACAAGAACTGGGGTACAGGTCAGAGGCACAGGAGGGTGAGAGGATTCACCAGAGACAGAGCAGGGAGCAGACAGGCAGATCCACTGAAATCTACTGCTGAGAGGAGCAGCGGGCGAGACAGGAGAGGTCTGCCACGCCATGTGGGTGTCTCCCTGGCTGGCCAGGAATCAAACCCATGCTGCAGAGGCTGTGGACAGCTTCACAGCCTGAGCTCAACCCTCTGTGCCACTGGGGAGGCCCAGAGGAGAGCTTTCTAAAAGGCTCTTTAGAACTATCCTGATCTAAGCAACCAGCATCTCTCCTGCACCACTGCAACAGGCCCCACACTGAGCCCCCTGCCTGTCTGGAACCCTGAAGCTTGCTCTCAACAGGAAGTCAGACCAAGTCACTCCTTTGCTCAAACCCTCCCACCACCACCCAGCCTCAGCCCACTCTTACCTTCCTGACCTCACCTCCTACCACCCACCCTGCAGGACCTTGAGCAAGCCCTGCAGGGTCCTACCACAGGGCCTTTGCATAAGCTGTGCCCTCTGCCTAGAACCTCCATGGCTTGCCCCTTGTGCCCCTCAGGTCTGTTTAACCCACCCTGAGCACACTAGCTAACCTCTCCCACCACTCTGCAGCCCCTTTCCATGCCCTTCTCTCCACAGTTCTCCCAGCAGAGCTGCATCATTTGTCTGCTGGTGGTTTGTCTCCCCCAACTGGAACAGAAGCTCCACGGGGGTGGAAAATTTGCTCTGGTCAGGACCGACTCCCTAACACCTAGACAATGCGTGGCACATACTGTGCACCCATAAACAGCAGCTGAATGAATGAGCAAATGAACTCTCCAAAGAAAAATTACAGCACACTCAGGAAGGCTGACTTTCTGAACAATTTGTGTGGCAAGATAGTTAGAAATTGGCCTCAGGAGACTGCCTGGGTTCTAACCCCAACTCGGTGACTTCAGGCTCCCCATGCTCAGGCCAGCTGCCCACTCAGGGCCTCAGTTCCCTCATATGCAAATTGGAGATAGTACCGGCCCCAGGTGAAGGCTGCCAGAGGGCTAAACGCCTCAGCTCCGCAAGGAGATGAGGACGTGCCTGATGAGCCGTCTGCGCTTAAGGTTATGGGTTTAAAAAAAAAAAAAAAAGGTTATGGGTTTTGCTTTTATCATCACTCTTCTGTAACAAACTGCAGCCCAGTGCTGAGCTCCTCGGGAGGTCCTCATTAACAGGGCATCTTTAACAGGAGGGGTGGGAGACAGGAAGAGCGTACAGGAAGCGCGTGATGTAGCAGGGTTATGGCACAGGGCAGGAGACTGGGTTCCAGCCAGGCCTTGATGCTCATCCACCTACAATTTCAGCAAGAGCCCAACTTCTCTGCAGATGAGTCAGGGCCTAGCACCGATTCCAGCTTACAGGGCAGCCATGAGGCTCCGTGCTGGACACAGCCTTGGGGGGACCACGAACGGGTGTACCCCACCCACTAGTCACTCATGTACTTGCATCGCAGCCCCAAAGTCACAAAGCCAGAGTTCACAGGTGATGCCCCACACAGCCGAGCAGCCCCTCAGAGGCCTCGGCAGCGCTGTGGAAGCCTCAATTACAAGGGCAAGGAGTGTCAAAGCTTCTTGCATTTCGGTCACAATATCATCCAGGAGCAGAGGGTAATCCAGGGAAATTATAGTAATTACTCCTTGGGAGGGCTGGCTGCCTGAACTTTGGCTGATCTAAAACCTGGGGTGAGATTTAACTCCCTGGAGTCGGGGGAGACACATGGGGAACCTCAGTCTCCCTCGGGGTCCTGGGAAAATGAAACCAACATCACGTAATAAATGCACACTCTTGTCAGATCCAGGGCCAGGGAAGCCTAGCAGTCAAGAACACAAGTGTCAAGTCAGATCAGCTGGCTCCGCCCCCCTGTGCCCGCCACGAGCCAGACACCATCCTGGAGGGGACGGCCCTCACTCGGGGGGGGGGGGGGGGGGAGCTAAGTGAGCAAACAGGACACAGAGGTCTTGCCAGGAAAGAAGAGGATCAGGCCCAGGTGACTGACCCAGGGCTCAGGGAGTCCCCTCTGAGGAGGGGAGCCTGACTTGGGGCCTACAGGAGGGGCCCAGGCATGTTCCCACACTTCCCTGGGCCTCAGTTTCTCCATTTGTCAATGGGTATGAGTCTCGTGCCTGCGTTTGGCATTGTTGTGAAGGCTGATGGGTTAGTATGAGGGCTGGTCCATGGCGCTTGAGCCAAGGTGATGATCTGGAGACCAGGAGGCTGGGGAGGGCCTGGTCATATGTGGCAATTCCAGCAAATGCATGACACACCCCCCCCCCCCGCCTCCAGGCCAGGCTATCCAATCACAGGGGGGCAGTGGTGAAGAGGGCAGATCCAAATCCCTGTCCCTGTGACCAGGGCAGGGGAAGGCTGCCCCACCACACACCCTCAGCAGAGCCCAGCTCGCTGCCCTTTCACGGGAGGAAGCCTCCAGCAGCACCTCCATTCAGCCATCTCTCCACCCCTCAGCACCCCACCTCCCCTCTAGCTGACACCCTAGCTGCTACACAGTTGCCCACCAGAGTTGTCTGTCTTCGGGTCCCAAGTCGGGGTCTCAATTTGATCCCCTGGGAAGCATATGACAAACCACAGATCCTAGCCCAGGTGACTGGGCCTGCGGTTCTGAGAAAGTCTGATGCTTGGGCACCACAAGCCAACACTGCCCTTGGCCTGGCACTGTGTGCTGTCCCCAGGGTACAGCAGAGCGGGGCAAGAAACGTCTAATCACCTCAAAGCCCCCTCTGCCCCACAGCTCCAGAATCAGGACTGTGCAAGCCTTCCCTGAATGGTCACACTCAAACAGCCGGGCAGAAAGGGAGGGTCCCAGGGGGAGTTACCTGCCGGAGGCGAGCAGGGCCGGGGAAGACTGGATGCTGACAGCCCAGACTCAGGTGTGGCTTTTCAAATGCCGCTAAGCAATGCGAGTGAGGCCGGCTGTGGGTGCTGGCACAGGCCCCTGGTCTTAAAGGGCCCAAGGTGGGAAGGGCAGTTATACTTAACAGGCAGGTGGGCAGAAGGTGGGGGAGGGACAGAGCAGCTGTGAATGGGCCCTGCAGCCAGGACATCCTGGACCTTCAGGCTCAAGTCCCAGCCCATCGTGGAGGGTTTGGACCCTGTGAGCCTATGTCTCTGGGGTGGGGTAACCCACCTCCACCCTCCATTCCGGGGACTCCATATGTCTGAGTCCTTCCCAGCAAGACCACCCTACCAGCTCCCCACTACCAGGAGCCAAGTTTGCCCCCAAGTGCAGTCTTGCCTACAGCGCTCAAGCAGGGGAAGGAAAGGCCTAAGACTTCTGAAGTCAAGTCCCCAGAAAGCAGGAGCATCTGGGATCAAGGCAGCCTCACAAGAGCCCCTCTAACTCCCCAAACCTTCCCATCTGAGATGAGAGACAGCTCCCTGCATGGCCTCTGTCACCAGATGCAGGGGGTTAACTCAGTCAAATGCCAGAGTGCAGCCCTACAGTCACAGCAGAACAAGACTGGGCCCACATTCCGCAAAATCTTCCCACCTGGTGTTCCTTTGGGGAGATGCTCGGTAACAAATGGTCCCATTTTAAAGATGGGGTTGTAGGAGCCCCACGAGGTTACCTGGACTGCGCCAGCAGGGACCTGGCTGGTCCCCAGGGAAGGAAGGGAAGCGGAAACAACTTTCACCAAGTGTCAGCAGCATGCCAGCCACTGGGCTAGGCCCTCAGGGGTCTTTCTAAAGGCCATGGGGACCACAGGGCTCCAATCCGTGACACTTCCTCTTCCTTGGCAGTGGAGGTGCCAGCCCACCAGCCCCTTCCTGGCCCAGACGGCGTCAGATCTGGCTCGCTCTGGTTAGGACATCTGCAACCTTATTTAAAAGTCACTACTGCACATAATTAGAGGCACTTACCCCCTCGGATCCATCCTTCTCCTCCGATCGGTTTTATAGCTAGTAATAACTCTCGTAAATTCCTCAACAGATGGAAATTTTATTTGACTAATCATGGCCGTTTGACTTGCTGGGGTGCAGTGGCTCAGGGCTCGGACTGGCAGAGTGCCAACAGAAGTGATTGTCAGGGGGCCGGGCAATGAGCCCAGAACCCAAGGCCACCTTGAGGGCCCACCCCCCGGAGGAAACCAGAAGGGGCTGGAAAGCGCCAGGCCCCAGGCAGCAATGGCAGCTGTGCCCTGCCTCTTCCAGGTCCAGAGGCACCTCTGAACAGGACACCCAGGCCTTCCGCCCCTCGAGGAGCCTGGTCTCCGGACACATCATGGCTAAATCTAAGGAGCTGTTGGGGTGTCTCAGCTTACAGCATGTTGGCTGCCACCTGTGCCTCTAGTCCATGCCAGTCCCACGCACGCACCCACTCGGTCCTGCCAACAACCCACGGGTGCCCGCGCACTTTCCCATTTCACAGATTCGGGACTAGATGATGGAGCGGAGCCCAAGTCGTGAGGCTGAGCTGCCACCCTCATCTGGGAAATCGAAAGCAGATGGACCCCTTCCACTCACACAACGCCAAGCCATCCGCCTAAGATCCACATCGGCCGCCCCCATCACTGCTAGTAAAACACACCAGCAAGACTCCCCAGTAATTCCGCAGCCCCCTGGAGATGAGGTTAAGGCCCTGGCAGAGGAGCCCCCTCCGCGTATCCTACCTGGAGATGGGAAAACACACTGCACGGAGGGAACTTACAGCACCCCAAGTTAGGAACAGCAACATGCAAGTGACAAACTACTCTCGTGTGATAGACACACACACACCTGGGGTATCATGTCGCAAGCCACCGGCGGGGAGAAACCACAGAGCAATTTGAACATATCAGTTTCATATGAAGTTTCATATAGCGGATGATTAACTCTAATTAGAGAATGAATTAACAAGGGACTGGCTAGAAAGAAGTACAGCAAACTCCGGAGAACAGCGTCAAAGAACCACCCTAGGGTGGACACAGAGTCTCCAAGGAAATGTTCCTAATCCAGACTGAGAGGGCCCCCAAGAAAAAGCCCCCAGGGAGCCCCCCAGCAACACACACACATACCTGCAAGGCTGACACCCACTCCCTGGTGAGCAGGGCACAGCCGGGGTTCACTGTGCCAACAAGCTGGTCTGCTACTGCATACATGGAATGTGCCAGAAATCTGCCTTGGAGGACACCCCAAAAGCTGCTCACAGAAGCCTCTCCAGAAGCCCGCCTCTACACCACTGCCTAGTGGGGGTACTGGGCAGCGGCTGGTGCCGCTGCCTGGGTGTTTCCTTTTCCCAGGGCACAGTCTCTCTGGAAGTGGCCATCGGCCCCTGAGGTTTGGGGGATTTACAGCAACAACACCGGCTCCTTGCCCAGGCTTCTGGGTTGGTGAATGGACTTAGGTCTGGGACCCGGATGGGCAGCCAGCACTTGACTGGCTACACCAGGCCGGTTTTGGCTACTAGACCCAGAGCTCTTTATATCGTATCTGTCAAGCCAGACCCCAACAGGACGCCACTTGTTGCATTCCGGAGAACTCTGTGGTGTTCTAGCCACTGCCAAAGATCCCTGCGGGCTGGGATGTGGTCCCTGCACGTCCCTGCGGCCCTTATAGAGCCGTGCCCACCTGTGCATGCAGCGAGCAGTGCCCCGGGCCTCGGCTCCTGCAAGCCCTTCTCCCCGCTGAAGTCAGGGAGCCCATCTCAGCGGAATCGGCCTCCCCAGCCGCACACAATCCACAGAGAGAACCGCGCAGAGCATTTCAAGGACGAAGGTTCAGAGGTGCCTCTGGACCCCTCACTCGTGTCTTTCTCGATGCCTCTGTCCTTTGCTCCTTCTTGTGGAACATAGTTGGGGAGGCGGGGGTGCAGCGTGCAGGCAATGCATCCTTTCCAACAATCCTGGCTCCCCAAGCCTGTGGATTCCGTCTTCCACACCGTGACATCGCAACCTCATTAACCACAGGCCACTGTTGAGTACAAATTTCAGTCAATCAACCAAGTAAGCCTTGTTACAGCCGCCTCCAGCTGCACGAGCTAATAACCAAATCCTGGTGAGTGCAGCCCTCTGGATGAAGCCGGCCCAATCTAGGGTTATTTCTGCCCTCTTTGGTCTAAACTCTTAGAATCCACTGATTCTATATATAAATACAGCCATTGATTCGATACAAGTCAGCAAAATCTTGCGATTTTTTTTTGGCGTTTCCTCGGTCTTAGTGTGCCCTTGTGAACAGGCTGAGCCTGACCCTGGTGGGAATGTGGCCACAGCAGGGGGTGGCCCTGGTGAGTGTGGAAGAGAAGGGACATGCCTTTTTAGGGCGCCTGCCCCCATGAGGGTGTCACGGGGCTGTGAACAGGGAGCAGACACTGGAAGGCCAGGACTGCCACGGGCGAGGGAGGCTCAGAGTCAACCAGGGCTGAAAATCATCCGTTTCAGCTGGGGCCTCAGAGCTTCCCTCCCGTGTTTCAGGGCCCCTTTCTTTCCCAAAGAACCCTGTCATTTTCACACGAGAAATTTGTCGAGATGGAAATTCAATTGTGGCTGTAATCCAGCAACCAGCACAATTAAAAAATTGCACGTCTAATTTTCAGCAACACCAGCCCGGAAGGCACAAGAAACAAGAGCTCCTTCCTGGGGAGCGGGGACGCGCCCTGCTCAGTCCAGGGCCTGGGGCAAGGAGAGTTAAGGGACCTGGGCTTTGCTATTTTCGCTCTAAGTGCTCAAGAGCCCTCAAAGGAACCCACCCCTCCTTGGAGGGGACTCATCCCAGATGATCCCATCAAAATCCTCAGGGTCTCTAAGTCCCGAGGGAGGGGCTCTCGTTCAAACGAGTGGCGGCTGCTCCTCAGAGCTGAAATTTTTACGATAATTTTGGTTCTCTTTATTTTTCAATAGCCAATGCCTCGTTAATTCAGTACCATTATACGGTAACAGTTTTCTTAGGAAACTTTCCTTGTAGTCCTCACGGTCAAGTACAGCTTCGCACTGGCTCCGAGGGACCAGGCTCAGCGGCACGTCATGTCAGTCACCCTCGGGTGAGAGTTTGCAAAATTGGAAGGCCACTGCCTGTCCCTGGTCCCCCGGCAGTGAGCTCAGCAGCCCCCTCAGGCCCAGAGGCACCAGAAAACCAGCCTGCAAATCTCAACTTTGCAAGGGCATCTGGTAACACCTCTACACTGCCCTGGTTTGGGTCCAACCCAGAAAGAAAAACCACACCGTCATTTTAACAAGGAAAGTTTCCTAAGAAAAACTGTTACCGTATAATGGTACTGAATTAACGAGGCATTGGCTATTGAAAAATAGAGAGAACCAAAATTATTGTAAAAATTTCAGCTCTGAGGAGCAGCCGCCACTCATTTTGAACGAGAGCCCCTCCCTCGGGACTTAGAGACCCTGAGGATTTTGATAGGATCATCTGGGATGAGTCGCCTCCCAGGTGAAATAAAATCCTTAAGAAGGAGCCCCCAGGACTGAGGTAGAGCCCCCCCTGGAAGGACCAGTCCCTCACGGTTAGAGTATACACCTCAGAGGAGAAACCCCCATACAGGAGAGCCCCCCCACCACCAGGCATACAGCTCCCCCAGGGAGGAGCTGCCACCCGAAGTTGAAACAGAGCCCCTAGGAAGAGTCTGGAGGCTGAAGTCAAATCCTCCGGGGGAAGCCCCGGGGCATAGGGAGAGACCCAGCCGCCTCCATCCCCCTGCAAGGGTGACACCCTGGCGAGCAGAACACGCTGTGGCTCAAGGCACGCCCACAGCTGCTCTGCTGCCACACCACACGCCCACAGCTGCTCTGCTGCCACACCAGGGGAACTTGCCAGAAGACCAACCTGTGGAACTTGCCAGAAAGCCAGCAGGGGAACTTACCAGAAATCTGCCCTGGAGGACACCACGAATGCTGCTCACAGGAGGAGTCTCTCCAGAGGCTGCCTACAAGGGGGCGCTGGAGCAGCTGCTGGGTGCCCCCGGCCACCTGCTCTGCA